TAATGAGGTAAGGATAGCAAGGGAGGCGAAGACAAACCCCAAAGGATTCTACCAAATGTATCAAACTAAAACACGAGAAAAGATTGGACCAATACGGTCAGACTCCGGCGAGCTCACTGATAACGACGGAGAAATGAGCAATAATTTGAATAATTATTTTTCAACAGTTTTCACCACCGAAAATTTAAACATGATACCCGAGGCACCGACTCTATTCAGAGATAGTGAAGAAAACAAATTAAGTGAGATAGTAGTGACTAGTAACGATGTTAGTAAGCAAATAGACAAACTAAAGCCTAATAAGTCACCTGGTCCCGATGAGATATTTGCCAGAGTATTAAAGGAATGTAAGGAAGAGCTTAGTATGCCCTTAGCAAAGTTGTTTAACATGTCCTTAAAAACAGGTGTAGTACCAGAATCCTGGAGGATAGCGAATGTAATACCGATTTTCAAGAAGGGGATAGATCACTATCCTCTAACTACCGCCCAATCAGTCTAACATCAATAGTAGGCAAATTACTGGAAGCAATCATTTCAAACTCTATTCGAAATCACCTGGAGAAGCACCGATTGATCAATGATTCCCAGCATGGCTTCACAAGCGGACGTTCTTGCCTAACTAATCTATTAACATTCTTTTCATCAGTTTTCGAATCAGTGGACGAGGGGCACAATTATGATGTGGTATATCTCGACTTTAGCAAAGCCTTCGACAGAGTCCCCACGAAAGACTAATTAGAAAGGTAGAAGCTCATGGCATCAAAGGTGACATCCTTAAATGGATTAGGGCGTGGTTACAGGACAGGAAACAGCGAGTGAGCATTAACGGATATACACAGCGGAGTTGCCCAAGGCCCGCATTTGACCATTAATGCTTATTATATATAAACTATAGATATCGGCACAGTACAGCAAATATAAGTAAATTTGCTGACGAGACACCAAAATAGGACTGTTATCAAATCTGGACGAGACCTCGGCAAAACCACAGGAAGATCTAAACAAATTTTTTCCAATGGTCTGGAAAAAGGGCAGATGAAATTCAATGCCTACAAACGTAAAGTACCAGTATAGGAGATAAAACAGGGAAACCAGATACCATGAAACAACGACAGCTAGAGAAACTGATCAAGCAGAGAGATTTAGAGCAATGATACGTAGGAACCTTAAGCCAAGTAAACAATGTGTTTTTGTCAGAACAAGGCTAATAAAAGTACTTGGGCTCATACAAAAGGAGCGTTAGTTGCTAAGACTCCATGCAGGCCATCCTAAACCAGATTCACTTTTGGTGGAGACCACACCCGATTATTTAGTCTGGAAGCCTTGTCACCGACAGGAATGGATATAGAATCCTTGGAAAGAATTCAGAGGAGAATGACAAGACTAATCCCGGGCATTAGGAACCTTGAGTATAGAGACAGGTTAAAGCATCTTAATTTGCACTCCCTTGAGAGACGTAGAGCGAGGGCGACCTGATAGAGGTGTATAAGTGGAAGGCAGGGCTAAACAAAGGGGACATTACAAAGGTACTCAAACTATCCAACCAGGAGCGAACTCGTAACAATGGTTTTAAATTAGACAAATTTAGATTTAGGCGTGAAATAGGTAAACACTGGTTTGGAAACAGAGTAGTGGATGAATGGAACAAGTTACCAAATATCATCATTAACTCGAATACGCTGAATTGCTTCAAACATAGGTTGGATGCTCATATGAGCAATAGGGGTTGGGTGTAAACGGGACTGCCCAGTATGGGCCAATAGGCCCGCTGCAGTTTCCTCCATTCTTATGTTCTTATGTTCTTATGTTACGAGCCCACGACCTTGCCAGCGGTACACAGGATGCCAAATCCACCGAACATTGCCCGTTAAAGTACATGTAAAAGAGAGAGAGCGAAGCAACATTGCGGCGAAGAGAAAGGGAAGAAAGATTATTAACTAAAGGAGGAGAGTTAATAAGACGAAATGCCTTTGATTCCACAGAAGAATAGCCACACAGATTTGAGAGCAGTACTCCAAGTTAGGACGAATGAATCCCTTATAACTAGAGGCAACTGCTCAGGAGTGAAGTAGCTACGGCATCTGTACAGCATTCCCAGCTTTCGGGAGGCAGCTTTAGCAATGTTATCGATGTGTTGCTTCCATGGCATATTAGAGGAAATGGTGAGGCTTAGCATATCTATTTTAGATTCTAGCAGAATGATTGCGTCCTGAAATGTGATTGGTGGGAGTTAACATAGGAACATAAGAAAATAAGGAGTCTGCAATAGGCCGGTTGGCCTGTGCATGGCAGCTCCTGTCGAGAGTTACTACCACTCTCTATCATCCCTAAATCTATCTAGCCTCCTTTTGAAACTTTCCAGAGTTCCAGCACTTACTACAAAGTTGCTAAGCTTGTTCCACTCGCCCACCACCCTATTTGTGAACCAGTTTCTTCCTATCTCCCTCCTAAACTAAACTTGTCCAACTTAAATCCGTTGCTCCGAGTCCTATCCTGTGTAAGTGTAAGTGGTAAATACCGTGTTTTATTACTATTGAATTTAACCAAGTTTCTACCTCCCCTTTTAGAGATGCTGCACAGATGTAGAGGAGATAATTAGTGTATATCAAGATTTTGACCTAACGTGACCTTACTTGTTACGTCGCACATTTTTTATAAGCTCTTTCATGTGCGGTGGAGGTGATGTGAGGCTTAGTGGATCCCATGTTATTGACCTGACCTGATGTTATGTAAGTTCACGCTTTGTATATAAGCTTCTCTCACCTGTAAATTCAGTTGCCTCTGAAGATGTCTTGAATAAAGATGAAAACGAAAGTGCTCCAGTGTTTCCCTATTCTTGTGTGGTTTTATCGTTATATACAGTAAATATGTAATATTCAGAAATTTTATGTGATATTTAGAAATCTGCCGAACAGGGGAACATAAATGGGCCGGGATGAAACACTCCTGCCTCGTGGCGAGTTTGAAACAAAATCTCCAAGCAACGCCCTCATGCATCTGAGCGGATTCATTTTGAACTATAGTACTGCGCTCCTCGCTAGGCCCATAGAAAAACTAAACGTACTTTATCGAATTAATGTAGAAAGGATTTATGAAGTTAAGGGACAATTATAAAATTTTAAGTTATTATGTAGAGTTTCCCAGTTCAAAATATGTTACGTGTGTCCCTAGGAGAATTAATAAAATATGCGAATAGATGACATCATGAGGGGGCAGGCAAGCTCCCTGAGGAACGGTGTCAATCAGTTGGCGGTCACTGATACAGACGGATGTCTCAAAATAAATGCTCCGTCGAGGAAGGCAACCTCATGGCCTCGTCCCTTCACGTGGGTTCAACCGTGTTGCAAGCAAGTCTTCATTCGATCTCAGACAATGTTTAGATAGGGCGGAGAAGAATTTAACTGTAGTTAACAAAGCACTCCTTTTGTAGAGTCATGAGACCCCACTTGGTGAGTGGTGATGGTGGTGTGGAAGATATAGCTGGCAACGCACGAACGGATGCAACCCAACCAGCGAGTGAACAGGTGTCTCTTACGACTAACTACTGGGACCAGCAGCCGCACTATGGCTCGGTCGACCTGGCTCACCCGAATCTCCCCACCTAGGCTCATACAACACCACAGGAACCACCCACAGATCTCCTCAGTCATTCAGGGAAAAATCTTATCAACGGGAAATAGAACACCTCCCTCAGCTGGGGCAGGGTTTACCTGGTTGCACACTGAGCTGGCCTAACTAGGCTGAACCGACGGTTGCTCTCTTCCCATCTATGAAGTATTGGGGGTAAGCCAACTGAGTGCAGACTGAGTGAATGATGGGTTACACTCTGGGACCTGGAGCTCTAGTGGTTACGTAGAGACATTCATCTCCCCAGAATTGGGTGTATGTGGTTCAATTAGCCAATTCCTGGTGTGAAGTCAACAACCCTATGGTTGATTGCACACGTGAGACGTAGGCGTTCCTCTTCAAGAATTGTTTGATGCTGTACCACTTTAAAGTGCTGAAGCATGTGACGGATATTGGTGGAGAAATGCACTCATGACTCCTGAACCTAGAAAGAGTAATGAAAAAAGCAGAGCACCCGCCTGCGTGACGGGTCATGAGTGATTTTCTCGGTTTCTTGTTGATGCATGCCACTCGGCAGGTTAGTAGTTACAACCTTCGGGTTCTGTGTATTTAGGACAGTTAGGATTAATAGTATTTTGTGGGTCATTCCAAACAGGCTATGAGTGATCCAAGTTCTTGTGAAGTATGACTAAATAGAGATTATATTCATCGGGATTACTATAATTTTGTCGGATGCACTTAATTAAGACATTTTCATCTGTGAAAGTAATATATATTTTGAGTGTTTTATATGCTACTAAGTGTTGTAGGATGTATTAAGGATGAGTTCCTCGTTCTTGTGTCTGTTCTGGTGTATGTAGTTCTTTTCAGATGCAATTGATATATTTTAATAATAGTTTTTGATACCATGTATAACTTTTGTTTCCCATTGTAGTGTTTTAAGCCACGCTAAGAAGTACTCTAGTGCTTGTGTACAATTATTGATTCCGTCTGTAGTGTTGGACGGAATAAAACTGTTATCTTTTACCCGTCCGTCTCATGAACCTCAATCATAGAATCTCCAGTCTGTCTACATAAATAATTTAATATTAAATGTGTTTGTGCTGGTTCGGTATTCTCTGTGGGGCGCTTCCACTGCATTGCCACTGGAACTCAAAAACTCCAATAAGTAGAATTCCGACCGGTTACACACACACACACACACACACACACACACACACACATATATATATATATATATATATATATATATATATATATATATATATATATATATATATATATATATATATATATATATATATATATATCATGAAAATGAACGTTTCCCTCCATATTATACGAATTGTCTCGACATTTTATAAACGGTCTGATTGATAATTAATTTGCCTGTTATATATCTAAATGATTGCCACTATTAAATTGCAACTCACCTCAACGACGTACAACATGAGTTTATCCAACTGAGGTTTGTAGGGAGCGTCATGAGGTATCGGCCACGCTCCAAGGCCCGGTAAAACGTTCTCTCTTCCAATGTACAGTTCTGTGCTGCCGTCCACCCTTGTGAAGTGATCAGCGATCATCTGCTTCAGGTAGCGTCGTCCATCCATAAAAGCCTCGCTTAAGGATCACAGACACAAAAATGGTTACTTTTCATAAAAACATACTTTGTGAAAGTGACCACTTTTTTTTATACAAATTACCATGTTAAAATGTCGTAATGAAAACTGGGGTATATTGAATGTTCTGGTTAGCATCTGAAAAGTAAAATAAGCTACTTTTCTTTGGCATTTTTCGTTTACTTCCCTTTTGTGAGGTTTACGTCTACTGGGTATTATTACATGTAAGTTACTGGGATTTTCTCACAAGTTCGTTGATTTTTATCAATAATAAATGATTTATAAATAATTAATAAAATCAATGTTCCAGGAATGAGTTAAACAAGGATATTTTAGTTTTTACCAAGAAAAAAAGAAGAAAATATTTAAATGTTACAAAGGGTGTGCAAAATAAACGTATCATAAATAAGTTAATCAAGGATAAAATTCATATAAATGTTCAACAAAAGGAGAGAAGAATATTAGTGTATACATAAATTTACTGGTAATAGAAATGCAAATAACAATCCATTTCATATCATAGTTTAAGTTAGGGTCTTTATAAATATGACGGAGACGGTCACAAGTACTCAAATTCAATTCTTCCAGAGGTAATCTCTTATGAGAATCCAATGTATATGAATTTGAAACTGGAGATATATTGCGATTGAGAGATTTAGGTTTACGTACAGTTGTAGCCGAACAGATCGAAAAGACAAAGTAAATATAAATTGAAAGGGTTGCTACAGCAAGATAATAGTACAGTAAGCTAAGATTGAGAAATTAGGGGAATTGATATCTGAAAGAGATAGTAACATAGCATTATCCAAGTGTATGGTCCAGTTGTCTATATAAAGCAATAGCGTTATCTGATAGCGAGACTTGTGCTGTAGTTAAGTTCTAGATCTCCCTTTCCATTAATTGGAACACACTTAAGCATGAGCCAAAGTTTCCAGGAGTTATAAATTAAACTGTATTAAATATACAAAAGAACAATAAGAAGGTTAATCCTCTATATCGAAGTATCCCTGGGAGTCATATTGAATAACTGTGTAGGAAAGTGACCTTATTCTAACTTAAGCTCGACACCCTAACGAAGACATTCATGCCAAAGATGAACTCCCTATCCCACATGATTCTCAATATAAGTAGGCTACAGGATATTTCTGGGATTATTGAGGTTTGCTAGTGCTCTAGTAAAACTCAAAATCTATTTCTAAAAAAATACACGTACTTCTTCTCAGCTACCTGATGTAGTCCAAGTGCGGCAGAAGGTATAATTTCCATAAGGTCAGAAAGAGCTTGAAACACCTGGGAATCTGATTGCTTAAAGAACTGTCTGAAAACCTCTCCGTAAGGTGGCATGGTAACTCTGTAGCAGAAATGTAAACAGAAAATGAGAAATCATACAGCAGGAAAGACCAGTTATTTTCAACAAAACACCTGAAACGATCATGTGGAAAATTTTCAAACCTAACATAACCTAACCTAACCTACTTTAGGTACAAATTGGCTATCTTATGGACTAAATTACCCAAAACACACTTGAAAATGTAAATAAAACACATAATTTGTTGTTTCTGACCTAACCAAATCATGTGAAGCTTCCTTGTTTAGCTCACTATGCGTTTTCTCGTATTCCCCATTATCACACACACACACAAACATACACACACACATACCCACATACACACACACATACCCACATACACACACACACACTTCTTTCCAGCCAAGACACTGAGGATCTACCCGGATGATGTCCCGTGGATTACACCCTGTATTAAGACTTATTGAGCAGCGCAACAAGGCATACTACACCAACAACCGCCTGTACAAAAGTCTACGTAACCAGGTCATCAGGGAAATCAAGTCGGCCAAGAAGTCTTATTATCCCAGGAAAGTGCACGGCCTCAAGGAGGTCGGCATCGGTCAGTGGTACTCCAAGGTAAAAGATCTCTGTGGTCTTAACAGTCAGTCTCCCACACTTCCTTTCATCTCACCTTTACCTAGTGAGGTGGCACCTGAGATAATTAATAACCACTTTGCAACCATATGTCAAACCCTACCCAGTCTTGACCTCACTCTCCTCCCGGTTTACTTACCTTCCCCCTCCCCCCCTCCCAGTGTTCAACCATTTGAAATCGCCAACAAACTCCTGAAATTTAAATCCAAACGCTACACGACCCCAATTGACCTCCCAATCAAAATATACAAGGAGTTTGCAGTCGAACTTGCCACCCCCCTCTGTTCTATTATTAATACATCCCTCAGACAAAGCAAATGCCCTAATGAATGGAAAACGGCATTTGTCACCCCTATCCCCAAGGTCAATACCCCACAGTCCCCTAACGACCTCAGGCCAGTTGCCATTACCCCCATACCCAGTCTACTCTGTGAAGATTTTGTTATTGATTGGGCATTTGCTAGAATCTATTAGTCAATTGATCCACAGCAATTTGGCAATATGAGGCCCTCCTCTATATCACACTGCTTAGCTAGTTTCCTGGATTTCCTGCACAAAAACCTGCAGAAAAGTAGGACATCACTGACCGTTGCCCTTGTTGACTTCAGGAAGGCTTTTGGCCTTCTTGATCACTGCACTGTTAACAACAAGGCCATTGCACTAGTGCTGCCCACCAACCTGGTCTCATGGCTCACTGATTTCTTGAGTGAACGTCAGCAAGCAGTCAGGTACCAGGGTTCTGTCTCCTCATTCAAACACCTCACCTTCGGTGTTCCCCAGGGGACCAAGATGGGACTACTGTGCTTTATCATCCTGATCAACGACGCTCTATCGGACACTCCTCACAGGTGGAAGTACGTGGATGACTGCACTGTGGGGGATGCAGTGGACAACACCTCACTGGACTACTCATCGCTACAAGGCACCCTGGACAGGCTACAGGCATGGACTACGGAGAACAGGTCACCATCAACCACACCAAAACCGTAGTCATGCACATCAATACCGCCACCATTCCAGTACAAGCTCCAGCAGTCACAGTGGGTGCCCATACTCTCCAGTTAGTGCAGTCTGCCAAACTCCTGGGTGTAACTATAGACCACAAAATGGACTGGAAGGCCCATGTTAACAACACAATCAAGGCAGCCTCGTACCGACTCTATATTCTACGACTATACAACGACTTAGGTCACTTGGGACACCCACGCCAGAGCTGAGGACTATCTACAACGCCTCTATTCTCCCCAAACTAACACGTGCGTCTCCAGCCTGGTCGTCTTCTCTCAACTCCACCCAACAACGTCGGCTAGAGAAGGTACAGAAAAGGGCTTGCTGAATCATTCTCGGCGCAAACTACTCCGGCTACATCAACTTTCTCTCCACCCTGGAAATGCCATCCCTCAGTGACCTCCACCACCAAGCACTAGCAAGGTTTGGCAGTGGACTACTGCACCATCCTCATCATCGCCACCTCCTGCCACCGGCAGTCCCCCACCCACCTCATGCAGTATGCCACTACAACAAAATTCAGCCCATAAGAGCCCGCACCAATAGATATAAGAATATTACCATCCCATCTATTGTTAAAATAATAAACAACTCCTGATTTATGTACTGTACAGCCATGTAAATGTATTCAACGCATATCATTGTGTCCAAATCAAATATAAGTTTGTATATTTTCAGCCACCGGCTGCAACTCTCTTAATAAACCGTTTATTATTATTACTATTATTATTATTATTACACACACACACACACACACACACACACACACACACACACACTGTACCCGGTATGATCTTACTTATCTGCAACCCTGACGAGTTGCTCTAGAGTCTCTGGTCTGGGCGGGTACTTGGGCAGTGTGAGGGCGGCGGTGAGGTTGCCGCGGTAAGCCGTCCCCACGATGAAGGCGAATACCAACCAAGCCGCCACCAACACCCGGCTCGAGCTGCTCACAATGTGTTGTTTGTTGACACTCTGATCCAGCAAAGTTCCAACAACTATATGTGCTGCTTCACCCGAACTTATTTTCTTATCAAACTCTTCTCCGTGTTTTGGGCGTGTGATCTGACGAATATAACATTTACTCTGTCTACAGCACTAAAGCAATTAAAGTTTTGTATCGTTAGGAATTTCCAATTTCTCACTTTACTACTGCTGTTGATCTCCCTGTCAAAGAACTTAACACAAAGAAAAGCTTTATTTAAATATTTAGTTAATAATATCTAATAGTCTTATTTATTTTATTATTTTTCAGTTATTGATTAGATTAAGCCAGCATTAATTATTTCAGCTGAAAAATATTCATGACAATATACCTCCTTTGACAAAACGAAGGCAGCTGAAAGGAAAAGAAAACTTTGTCCATGCAGTGTCCGTGACAAGTGTCCGTGACAAGAAGAATAGTTAAAAGTTTTGTAGTTCACGGGTAAAGCAAAACGACAATTCTCTATATGATTAGGGGCTAAGGGGAAAGTGAAAGTGGGATCCATACGCCTGACAGCCCGTTGAGAGCAGTACGGACACAGCAGTGTGGTCACCACTGCCGTTGAACACGTTCAGTTTCCAAATTATAAAGACATAAACCTATTCACGGTTGAAAGAATTAGAGTTGCCCTGGATGCAAACCAGTGAGTGACCTTCAGAATTTAAGGTGAGTGCTGTACCCACACGACCGCTGCACCCTAACACCATACTTATTTTTCAAAGTATGAGAAAAATAAATTTCCGACAGCAGCACCGTGAGAGAAAGTGGGAGAGTGATGTGTGTGTGTGTGTGTGTGGTCTACTCGTGTGTAGAAACTAATTACTTATACTAACCCCGAATAAGATATTATGAAGATATACCCGAGAAAAAAAAACATTTCTTATATTTACCTTGTGTATTTAAACAGGAAATTCAAAACGTACAGTATATCACATTTTATACGAACATTAGCCTATATTTACAATTTTAGTTTAGAGTATAATTATTATATGTCAAGATCACTATGCATATAGAGATCATTAAAGTTATTAGCCAAAAACAAAATCGAACCAGCTTACAATAAACAGTAGGAGAGGTACCAAAAGCAGGACCCCAAGCACTGACGCCCACACCTCGCCTGCTAGAGGATCGTAGAGACTTTGCCACTTCGGGGTGAGCGAAGGTGTGGCCATTGTGAAGTCAGTAGATCCAAGTTCGTAGGGATATGTATAGTCATACAGTAGTCGTCGCTGTGGTAGTACTATATGATACACAGTGGCCATAAAGGAGACTCTCTCCATTACCAGTCTTGTGACCTTGAAAATAAAAATAAAAACGCTTTAAGATATTATATATATTACACTTTTAGGTGAGCTAACTCCTTTAATTTAACAAAAAGCGTTACCCAGAAAACAAATTTTAATGATAATATAGTTTAACGAAACAACATTGTTAGCAGAGAATCACAGAAAAACACAACATTAATAATTACTGTATTTGAGTCACATTCACATCCTATGCTGGGAACTACCACGAGGTTTAAGCTTGATTTCAACATACCTCTTCCCAAGAATCAGTGGGGAGAACTTTGAAGGTAAAGTTGAGGGCCTGGCCGATGGTCCTCAAAAGCATTGGGTCACTGCCTGTGTATTTACTAACGGGTGGACCATGAAGTTGCTGGTCTCCTTCCACACTCCAATATGGCCGATATGGTAACGCCGTGACATTTACACTGGCTCCGTAAAAGCTGAGTGAGGAATTTCTTACGGTAAGTAGTTGTGAATTGATTAGAAAGTGAGGCCACTTTCAAATTTAAGAGAAAAATCAAAATTAATATTATAATAGGGCAAAAAAATCCTTGAATATGATAATCAAATTAATCATAAAAATTGAGTAATTAAAATAAGCGCCTTTTAAATTGTTAGTAAGAAATTGGCTGACCATCGCTGATTATATCACAAGAGTATGTGGAATTTTTTTTTAAATTTTAATGCTATATTACCTTCAAATATCTGCATATTTGCCAAGCACCTATACACAACTTATATCATTAACATAAAACTAGAAGACCTGAATTATATTTTTAACCCCTCCCCTGTTTTTAGGTGACGGCATGAAACATAACTTTGACTTTACTTCATGATTTGAAAAGAAGTAAAACAAAATTTCATCTGAACTTAATGACAACAAATTCTATGAGTCTATGGCAAATAAAAAATGACACCATGCCCTTCAAAACCAACAAGGTTATAATCCAACCAAATTTGACCTCGGTATATACCCCACAAGCTAAAATTATCAACTTCCTTGTAAAAGTGTGAGAAATAAAAAACAAACAAAACACAAGTATATTGAAGTTCAACAAGACATTGTTGAATATATATATATATATATATATATATATATATATATATATATATATATATATATATATATATATATATATATATATATATATATATATATATATATATATATATATATATATATATATGTTGATAACCACAAGGAAAGAAGAAAACACGAAGTTCCCAAGCGCTTTCGTGTAATTCACATCTTCAGAGGTGAGTACAGACGAAGGAGAAGTACAAAACAAGGTATATATAAGAACATAAGAACATAAGAATGGAGGAAACTGCAGCGGGCCTATTGGCCCATACTGGGCAGTCCCGTTTACACCCAAGCCCTATTGCTCATATGAGCATCCAACCTATGTTTGAAGCAATTCAGCGTATTCGAGTTAATGATGATATTTGGTAACTTGTTCCATTCATCCAGTACTCTGTTTCCAAACCAGTGTTTACCTATTTCACGCCTAAATCTAAATTTTTCTAATTTAAAACCATTGTTACGAGTTCGCTCCTGGTTGGATAGTTTGAGTACCTTTGTAATGTCCCCTTTGTTTAGCCCTGCCTTCCACTTATACACCTCTATCAGGTCGCCACTCGCTCTACGTCCCTCAAGGGAGTGCAAATTAAGATGCTTTAACCTGTCTCTATACTCAAGGTTCCTAATGCCCGGGATTAGTCTTGTCATTCTCCTTTGAATTCTTTCCAAGGATTCTATATCCATATTGTAATACGGTGACCAGAACTGAACTGCATAATCCAGGTGTGGTCTCACAAGAGCAAGATACAGTTTTAGGATGACCCCCCTAGTCTTGTAACTAACACTCCTTTGTATGAACCCAAGTACTTTATTAGCCTTGTTACGAGCAAAAACACATTGTTTACTTGGCTTAAGGTTCCTACTTATCATTACTCCTAAATCTCTCTCGCAGTCGGATTTCTCTATGGCATCGTTGTTCATCTGGTATCTGGTTTCCCTGTTTACATCTCCTATACTGAGTACGTTACATTTGTCCATGTTGAATTTCATCTGCCATTTTTCAGACCATTCGAAAAATTTGTTTAGATCTTCCTGTAGTTTTGCCGAGTCCTCGTCAGATTTGATAACACGTCCTCTTTTAGTGTCATCAGCAAATTTACTCATGTTGCTGTCAATGCCGATATCTATGTCGTTTATGTATATAATAAATAATAATGGTCCAAGTACTGAGCCTTGGGGAACTCCACTTGTGACGTTGCTCCAATGGGACTTAGTGCCGTTAATGCTCACTCGCTGTTTCCTGTCCTGTAACCACGCCCTAATCCATTTAAGGATGTCACTTTGATGCCATGAGCTTCTAACTTTCTAATTAGTCTTTCGTGGGGGACTCTGTCGAAGGCTTTGCTAAAGTCGAGATATACCACATCATAATTGTGCCCCTCGTCCACCGATTCGAAAACTGATGAAAAGAATGTTAATTGATTAGTTAGGCAAGAACGTCTGCTTGTGAAGCCATGCTGGGAATCATTGATCAATCGGTGCTTCTCCAGGTGATTTCGAATAGAGTTTGAAATGATTGCTTCCAGTAATTTGCCTACTATTGATGTTAGACTGATTGGGCGGTAGTTAGAGGATAGTGATCTATCCCCTTCTTGAAAATCGGTACATTCGCTATCCTCCAGGATTCTGGTACTACACCTGTTTTTAATGACATGTTAAACAACTTTGCTAAGGGCATACTAAGCTCTTCCTTACATTCCTTTAATACTCTGGCAAATATCTCATCGGGACCAGGTGACTTATTAGGCTTTAGTTTGTCTATTTGCTTACTAACATCGTTGCTAGTCACTACTATCTCACTTAATTTGTTTTCTTCACTTTGGCCAATGATGTTCTTTAAATAATTATTTTTCCATTTAGGGTCATTGTTGTCTGATCTGAGTTTTTTGTATGGTATGTTCTGCCTTTGTGCATTAAGTAACTCACTATTTAAATTGTCGTGGAACTCGGCAATCTCAGATCTCGTTATCAGGTCTGTGTCATCTGTCAGGTTCACAGCCAAGCGCGACACCCTCTCTCTCAGCTGCCTCTTTAAACTGTCAAAGTTTGCCCTTCTGAAATCTGGTACTTTAGTGGAATTTTCCTTACGTCTGCCCTGAAAATCTAACTGGAATCGAATTTCTTTGTGATCGCTGTTTGCAAGTTCGTTCCCTACCTCCACATTGCTAATTAGGTTTTCTCTGTTCGACAGAACTAAGTCCAGTATATTATTTCCCCGTGTGGGTTCGGTTATATGTTGACTTAGTAAACAGTCCAGGATCGTCTCGAGAAAATCCTCTGATTCTGAGTTACCCGTAAGGTTAGTCCAATCTATTTGGCCAAGGTTAAAGTCGCCTACTATACAGACTTTGTTGTGTATGGAAGCCCTGAGCATTTCATCCCAGATAAGTCGCTCATTGACGCTAACAAGATTGGGGGGTCTATATATCAAGTCCACAATGGTCAGGTATTAGGTAATGACCATACTAATCTTCAAAAAGCACGGCAGCAGTTGGTAGTCAGGTCAGAGGGTAAGCAGACCCAACCTTCTCACCTGGTTACAAATCTTCTTAATTACGAAATTATCCAGTTTGTACATACCATTACTCAAATTCATGTTGACGAAAGCGCTTGGGAACTTCCTGTTTTCTTCTTTCCTTGTGGTTATCAGCATATGCCTGGATCACGCGCACCTACAGTGATATATATATATATATATATATATATATATATATATATATATATATATATATATATATATATATATATATATATATATATATATATATATATATATATATATATATATATAATATTAAGAAATTTCGTTTCGGTGTGATATGTAGAGACCAGGAAAGGAGGGGGAGTAGCAATCTATGTTAGGGATAATCTGAAGTGTGAAATAAATAAGGAAATAAAAACTGAGAAGAATACAGAAACAATTTGGATAGAATTAAGCGACGGTCGGGAAAAATTAATCACAGGAGTAATATATAGACCCCCCAATCTTGATAGCGTCAATGAGCGACTTATCTGGGATGAAATGCGCAGGGCTTCCATACGCAACAAAGTCTGTATAGTAGGCGACTTTAACCTTGGCCCAATAGATTGGACTGACCTTATGGGTACCTCAGAATCAGAGGATTTTCTCGAGACGATCCAGGACTCTTTCCTAAGTAAACATATAACCGAACCCATACGGGGTAAAAATATACTGGATTTAGTTCTGTCGAACAGAGAAAGCCTAATTAGCAATTTCGAGGTAGGGAATGAACTTGCAAACAGCGATCACAAAGAAATTCGATTACAGTTAGATTTTCAGGGCAGACGTAAGGAAAATTCCACTAAAGTACCAGATTTCAGAAGGGCAAACTTTGACAGTTTAAAGAGGCAGCTAAGAGAGGGGGTGTCGCGCTTGGCCGTGAACCTGACAGATGACACAGACGTGATAACGAGATCTGAGATTGCCGAGTTCCACGACAATTTAAATAGTGAGTTACTTAATGCACAAAGGCAGAACATACCATATAAAAAACTCAGATCAGACAACAATGACCCTAAATGGAAATAAAATTATTTAAAGAACATCATTGGCCAAAGGAAGGCTATAGGTAGAAGGATAAATCGTGGCGAAATTCACCTCCATGACTATTATAGGGTATTGGCGAGTAGGGTTAAAACCGAGATAAGGAAAGCAAAGAGGAATAATGAGGTAAGGATAGCAAGGGAGGCGAAGACAAACCCCACAGGATTCTACCAAATGCATCAAACTAAAACACGAGAAAAGATTGGACCAATACGGACAGACTCCGGCGAGCTCACTGATAACGACGGAGAAATGAGCAATAATTTGAATAAATATTTTTCAACAGTGTTCACCACCGAAAATTTAAACATGATACCCGAGGCACCGACTCTATTTAGAGATAGTGAAGAAAACAAATTAAGTGAGATAGTAGTGTCTAGTAATGATGTTAGTAAGCAAATAGACAAACTAAAGCCTAATAAGTCACCTGGTCCCGATGAGATATTTGCCAGAGTATTAAAGGAATGTAAGGAAGAGCTTAGTATGCCCTTAGCAAAGTTGTTTAACATGTCCTTAAAAACAGGTGTAGTACCAGAATCCTGGAGGATAGCGAATGTAATACGATTTTCAAGAAGGGGGATAGATCACTATCCTCTAACTACCGCCCAATCAGCCTAACATCAATAGTAGGCAAATTACTGGAAGCAATCATTTCAAACTCTATTCGAAATCACCTGGAGAAGCACCGATTGATCAATGATTCCCAGCATGGCTTCACAAGCGGACGTTCTTGCCTAACTAATCTATTAACATTCTTTTCATCAGTTTTCGAATAGGTGGACGAGGGGCACAATTATGATGTGGTATATCTCGACTTTAGCAAAGCCTTCGACAGAGTCCCCCACGAAAGACTAATTAGAAAGGTAGAAGCTCATGGCATCAAAGGTGACATCCTTAAATGGATTAGGGCGTGGTTACAGGACAGGAAACAGCGAGTGAGCATTAACGGCACTAAGTCCCATTGGAGCAACGTCACAAGTGGAGTTCCCCAAGGCTCAGTACTTGGACCATTATTATTTATTATATACATAAACGACATAGATATCGGCACAGACAGCAACATAAGTAAATTTGCTGATGACACTAAAATAGGACGTGTTATCAAATCTGACGAGGACTCGGCAAAACTACAGGAAGATCTAAACAAATTTTTCGAATGGTCTGAAAAATGGCAGATGAAATTCAACGTCGACAAATGTAAAGTACTCAGTATAGGAGATGTAAACAGGGAAACCAGATACCAGATGAACAACGATGCCATAGAGAAATCCGACTGCGAGAGAGATTTAGGAGTAATGATAAGTAGGAACCTTAAGCCAAGTAAACAATGTGTTTTTGCTCGTAACAAGGCTAATAAAGTACTTGGGTTCATACAAAGGAGTGTTAGTTACAAGACTAGCGAGGTCATCCTAAAACTGTATCTTGCTCTTGTGAGACCACACCTGGATTACGCAGTTCAGTTCTGGTCACCGTATTACAGAATGGATATAGAATCCTTGGAGAGAATTCAGAGGAGAATGACAAGACTAATCCCGGGCATTAGGAACCTTGAGTATAGAGACAGGTTAAAACTTAATTTGCACTCCCTCCAGAGACGTAGAAGCGGCGACCTGATAGAGGTGTATAAGTGGAGAGCAGGGCTAAACAAAGGGGACATTACAAAAGGTACTCAAATTATCAACCAGGAGCGAACTCGTAACAATGGTTTTAAATTAGACAAATTTAGATTTAGGCGTGAAATAGGTAAACACTGGTTTGGAAACAGAGTAGTGGATGAATGGAACAAGTTACCAGATATCATCATTAACTCGAATACGCTGAATTGCTTCAAACATAGGTTGGATGCTCATATGAGCAATAGGAGTTGGGTGTAAACGGGACTGCCCAGTATGGGCCAATAGGCCCGCTGCAGTTTCCTCCATTCTTGTGTTCTTGTGTTCATGTGTTGAGTGGAGAATGCGCAGAACCTAGCACTGGCTATGACGTCAGGAGTTGATGACGTCATTCTCAGGGTGGGATGACGTCACGTCTTATTGCAATCCACCTGGGTCTTGCGGCTGTCAGCTCTGGGCTGCTCATGGTCTTGCTGTGGTCAGCTCGGGGCTGATTAGGGTCTTACTGCGGTCAGCTCGGGGCTGATCTGGGGCTGACCTCTGGGTTGGTGCCATCAGCCTGGTGGCTGATCTGGGGTTGTCCTCTGTTGCACACAGACGAGTTTCGATTGTTTAAGCAAAAGATTGTTTGATTGTCTGGAACCACATTGACAACCTTCCTAAACTCCGGTGATGTAGTGTTAGCTGGTAGTAATCTCAGCCCACACTCGGGTAAGTTTCGGCTGCTCTCGCCTCCGGTCTGGGTAACCTTCAGTAGTATGTGTCACTGAGGGTTTGACTGCTAAGTTGGCAATCTCTTCTATTGTTTGTGTTACTACTGTGTCTCTATGTATACGTTTTGCAAGTGTTTATAGCGACTGTCCACTTAAATTTCTTGTAATTGCTTGTTTGCTGCTGATTCACTTAGGATGCCACATAAGTCACTAGAACCACTTGAAGTAATGTTTGTGTCTGAGTGTCTGACAGATTCTTCTTTAATCCGTCCCACCGCTGCCACCAGAATGTGGTCACACAATATATATATATATATATATATATATATATATATATAGTTGTATATATAATTCCTGAGTGTAGATCGACTGTAAGTTTCACTGTATAGGAGTAAATGAGAAAAGGACGGCGTTTATGTATTATAAACGTGAGGTCACGTCCTTACGATATAAGTTGCTGTGAGCGACTAAAGAGTGAGGGCCTCGCTGTGCGGGCTTACAGATATGCTGACTATGGGGCACTCCCTCCAGGGAGACTTGCCAGCTCACGGGTACAACTCATGTCTTACTCATAGACAGTGGAAAGTTACAGGGTGGTGAATCTGAATATAATATCAGATGTATTGAACCATTTATATAATATGTTCTGTTGATGAGACAAGGGCCCATTACATCGCTCGGTCACCTACCAGCCGAGCTCCGTGAGGCCTAAATAACTCACAGAGTACAGTACATCCTAGACAACCCTAACCATGTTATAAACAGATATGTAGACACTAAGCTGGGGATTCTACTACGGTAGAGGACCTAGACTTTAGTGTCGTACGGGTTAGTATGTTATGAATAATGTTGAATTTGGATGACACTGCCCTGTAATAACAGAACAGGAACATAATTGCCAGAATTAACAAAATAGAGGGAATTGTAAGACTTGGTAGTGCAAATTCCCGTGACAGGTAAAATGGCAAGTTATTTTTCAAATCAGCAAAATGTGTCTCGTTCAAGAAAGCCAAAATTTTTAATTTCTCTGATACTATTTGAATATCCTTAATAGTGAAATTCATTATAGGAAGTTGAATTAAAGCAGACCTGAGGTTTATATTTAAAGCAAAATGCTGATGAGTAGGCAAGGTCCGTAATGTACTACAAGTGATTTCATAGTAATCAGGAGCCTTGTAATGCCCTTTCACAACTAGCTGCTTAACACCATCATGGCATTTTAAAATGACAGTAGTGAGATTTGGAAAGAACAAATACTGCACATTGTGAAGATGAGCGTGGAACACAGTCTTTAGACTAACTGGCCTATAACTGCATTGCGCTAGCGCTGTGCGTACATTTGGTTGTATGACTGCCAATTCACATATTCCCTCTGCAGCAGGAATAAATGCAAACATGTAGGCTGGACATACGTGTAGGTGTAGATAAGACGTCTTACACCGTGACAGTAGCTCAGAATCCTCTATTGATAACAAAGAATACTCTTCATCTACTAAGAAAAGTTCTTTAGGCCTATCTAGGGTATACAGTGTGTCGTTCACAAACCAGGGGATGGGTTCTAAATGTCATGCATTAAACTCATGTTGCCCTCGCATAGGAATGTGGATAAGAATTGCATTGTGCGTGAGAGTTGACACCGACAGTGGGTAATAATAGTGAACTTCATTGTCATTAAAAATAGGAGTTAAATGATACTGCAACTTGGCTATTTTTAAAGCTTCAAGAAGTGTCTGCACAGGCACAAGCTTCGCGTCCACACGTCCTATCCAGGCATCTACAATGCTGTCTATTAGTTCATTTTTTGAGGTTACAATTTTATGAACTGAAATTTCAGCAGCATGCAAATATTCTGTGAAATAAAGTAGCCATTCTAATGTCGGGATTGCTTTCTGTAACCTAGTAACAATCCTCGAAACTTGGTTAGACTCCACTATGATTGTATTAACCTTTCATTCTAGAGCAGTAATCGCGTGAAAGGTTTGAGAAATAACACGATTCTGTTGAGCTACAGCCTGAACGACAACGTTCATTCGGTCCCCCAATTTAGCTACATCATCGGCCGTTGCCATGCCAAACAAGGCGCTTTGAATGAGACCCACAAAATTAAAGAGACCCCTTTTTCGTCGTGCCTGAAAATGCACTTCTTTTGCAAGATCCGTTTGAGACGCAGGTAGATTTTTCCCAACATCGACGAGAAACTCGCGAAGGTTCTGGAGACGAAAGTGTAGAAGGTCTATAGTTTGTTAAACTATTGTCGAATTCTTAGAAGCTGTGCTGAGACCATGAAGGATGTCCAATGCTGATTGTAGTTGGCCGTCGACGTTTTCCATCTGACGCGGAAGTTGAAGTAGTGGATGTAGTTCATACTTGATGTTCGCCACGTCCTCAACTATGAGAACGCGTCCGAGAGGTGCCACAAGTGCACCTGGTTTGAGGACTGACGTGGACATGTCTGTCAACACAACAGTGCCACAACAGAGTAAAAGCAACACACTGAAGATCCAAGCCATTCTGTAAGGAATTACAAACGATTTAACGTCTACTCGCAGAACGAAGTTTCATACAATAGTCATTTGGGACACTCTGTTTCTGGACAATCTGTAAGGATGTATCAATCACATCATCATCAACTTGAGGTAAGACATTTATCTGGGTCTTCTTCAGACGATCCACGTGCACGACATCTGCGATCTGTGCATTAGGCTTCCAAATTTTGAATTTGTTGCCTCATTCTATGGAGATTATGCGGAATGGACCAGAAAATTTTGCCGAAAGTTTGGAGTTCCTTTCAGGTTCTTTTAACATAACAGCGTCCCCAACGTTTAATGCGACAGGTTTATCTTGTTTATGTTGTTTGATGATCATTCCGGCGAGTGACGCCGCTAGATGTGATCGTACTTGGGCATGAATATCTGTAAAGACATGAATTTGTTTTGCCGCGAAATCTTCCGTATTATAAACCGGGTATGACGCAACTGTAAGGATGTCGTAAGATAGACGTTTATCTGTACCATAGACAATGTAGTAGGGTGTTTTGCCCGTTACCTGCGGTAACCAATCCTCCATGCGTATTGAAAACCACTGACAATTGGACGCAGTATTTCTAGGATTTTACGATTGGTTCTCTCAACAAGGCCATTAGCCTGTGGATGATAAGCTGTCACAAAAGTTTGTTTAATACCATATTGTGCACATATATGCGCTACTAGCTGATTCTTGAAATCTGTGTCATTGTCAGAGAGCAGAACTTAGGCGTAGTATATAGACATATAAGATTCATCACTAATGCATAGGCTACTGCTTCGGCCGTTTTACGGTTTAGTGGGACAAGACCACGAACCTTGAAAAATGATCCACACACACTAAGACGTAGGCTGATCCCTGATGACTCATTGGGAGTTGTAACAAGTCAATAGCGACTGTGTCAAACGGACGGTCTGGTGTAGGATTTTGTAAAATCGGGGCTGGTGATCCCGTTGATCCTTTATGTTGAGCACACGCCAAACAATTAGCTATGTGTAATTCTATGTCTTTCTTCATAGTGTTCCAGAAATACTTCTTTCGTAAATCCGCAAAGCATTTATCACGACCTTGGTGACCTGCCTGTGGGACATCATGGAACAATGTCATTACTGCTTTGCACAACGTGTCAGGTACGACTATTTGAGACACATTACCCTCAGGAGATTTTCTCGTCCTATTGAGTATGTTATGTCGTAACTCAAACTGACTTAAGGGAAGAAATAACTTGGGGAGTTTAACATCTTCACCCAATTCGAGAGCAAAAATAACAGTTGACCAATATGGGTCGCGTCGTTGCTCATCTTCCAGTTGCGAAGGAGTGAATGTTGATACAGGCATGACTGGTGCTATATTTCTTGACAGAGCGTCGGCGACAACATTCGCCCTCCCAGGTAAATACCTAAATTCGGGGTCAAACTCTTGATTTGTCAGATACCAGCGTGCTAATCTGCCTGATAAGTTTCTGCCATGGAACAGTTCGATGACTGCCGCATGATCAGTAAAAACAGTTATCTTGTAGGTAAAGATAATGTCTTTTCACTTCTTAAGTGCCCACACAACGGCTAACGTTTCTAAATGCGTCACCGAATAACGTGTTTCAGCATCAATTAGTTTGCGACTTGCAAATGCTATCACTCTAAACTTCCTACGCGTATCCTCTTGCATGAGCACTGCTACGACTCCAATTCCTGAAGCGTCAGTACAGAGAGTGAAAGGTTGAGTGTAGTCTGGGAATGCTAGAAACGGGGCATTGGTAAGCGCTATCTTCAATGCAGTAAAACTATCTTCGTGCTCAGGGTCCCATATAAACATTGCATCTTTTTTGAGCAACCTCGTTAGGGGCGATGCTAATGTTGCATAGTTCTTGATAAAGGAACGATAATATCCAGATAAGCCGAGAAAGTTACGCACATGATCATGTGAGGTAGGACGCGGGAACTGAGATACAGCTTTGACTTTATCATTAACTGTATGTATGCCCTCACCGTCAACTGCATGACCAAGGAAATGGATTCTGGATTTTAAAAACTCACACTTCGAGAGTTTTATTTTGAGGCCTGCTGTGGAAAGTTTGTCCAACACTTCACGCAGTTTAATCAGATGGGAATCGACGTCCTTACTGACTACTATTAGATCATCCAAATAAGCGCAGACTGTGTTACCAATTAGTCCGGCAAACAGGGTGTTGAACATTCTTTGAAATGTTAGTGGGGCATTTCTGAGACCAAATGGCATTCGTAGAAACTCATTGTGGCCTAGAGGCGTGCTAAATGCCGTGATTTCTCGGGATTTCTCATCAAGTGGTATTTGCCAATACCCACTAAGCAAATCTAAGTTGCTAAATACCGCATTATCCTTGCCTAAGGATTGCAATATGTCGCTCAAGATAGGCATAGGGTACCTATCAGGGATCGTTTGATCATTGACGCGTCTGAAATGTATAACAGGGCGCCATCCACCATCCTTTTTCGGGACGAGGAATAATGGGCTACTAAACGGGGATTTTGAGTGTCTAATAACATTCTCATCTAACATACCCTGTACCATATCTTGCACTACAGCGCGCTGGCTATGAGGTAGTCTATAAGCTGGTACGTAAATAGGGTTGGTTCCCTCCTTCAACGCTATATGATGGGATGTTAAATCTGTCTGACCTCGCGTTTCCCCTGACAAGGCTATTATATTTCTATACTCGGCAAGCAGCGCTAAAACGCGTGTCTTACCCTGGGGATGATCGATCACCTTAATATGTGGCGCTATTTGATCTATCCTGGCCAGTCGAGTCTGTTGGCATTTCGCAACAATACCTCGAATTGGGAATTTAGTAGGCTGCACTTCGACATTGTTGTGATATACTAGAAAATCACACAAATAACATCCTTTCTTTAAGATCCGTTGAACGCCTGTTCGATTTAGAATCAGTACGTCGGTCAAACCACCAGGGCGTATAGTGCTCAGGGTAGATTCACATGACAGCCCTTTTACCTTGCATGTTTCAGGGAGACACACAACATCTGTGCGTCTGTACACGTTGGGTAGTTCGACAGTTGCTTTGGTGATTTCCTCATTTTGGTAATGGAGAGTACTCTTCAACACTGCTGGTACAATCGTTCAACTCTTGCTGCTGTAATCACGCTGGGAAAGTGTGTGGTTGAAGTCAAGAGGTATCTCTGACACACGATCCGCCTTCCTCTCAATAGGATTGGTAGACAACACTTTCGTCCTAGCTGTGAGCATAGGTTTAGAACGACTCATTGATGTGTAGGAAACACCTTTAAACATAACACTATTATTACGTGGAAGAACATCTATCATATTCTTTCGAAGAGTTGGTAGACCAAGTAACCCGTCGGCTGGCAAATTAAACTGCTGGACTATATAGAAGTCCGCATAGAAGGGAGAACCACGTCTGGAGAATCTGAGTGGTAACGTCACCATTCCTTTGATGCTCAGCTGAGTACCTGAAACTCCTTCGAGCTCAGCGTTACTAGGCCTCCATTTGAAGTCGCGGTAAGGGAATTTACGTTGTAACTCGTGATATGATGTCAAGGCCAATACATTAGCGCAAGCACCTGTGGCTATATCAAGAGCCAATCTGGTATTATCCACTCTCACTGGCACTGACAACACTTCCACCTTGCTAAGCGCTGCTACTAATGAGGCCGCTATAGAAGTGCTGTGAGGAGGGGCAGGAATTACCCTATCTATCCCTCTCCTTGTTGTGGTGTGCGCTGGTCTTCCCCGGACGACTTGTCCCGGGGACGTTTCTGCTTGCGCCTATACGACACCTCCGTTTCACTAAGGTCCACTCCCCTAGCCTTTATTAGCACATCGCACTCATGTGAACTATGAGATGCACGAATAAAATGGGCGACCCTATAATCATCTTGACCCGTGAAATTCCTAACATAGTCGCCACGCTACATGATATTAATAATATTATCAGGGTTAGGTGTGGTAGTAGTACTGGTGTGAGGGTTAGAAGAAGCCATTGTAGTGTTAGTATTAAGCAAGTTAGTATTCTTACTCCTAACAGGAGCCCAAATGGATAAATAATTATTTAAAGAATATTAAAAAGTCAAAGGAAGGCTTTTGGTAATAGAATAAATCGTGGTGAAGTTTACCTCCGAGATTATTATAAGGTATTGGCTAGCAGGGTTAAGACCGAGATAAGAGAAACAAAGAGGAATAATGAACGGAAGGTAGCAAGGAGGCGAACTCAAACCCTAAAGGATTCTTTCAAATGTATCAAACTAAAACACGAGACAAGATTGGACCAATACAATGAGAAACCGGCGAGCTAACTGATAACGATGAACAAATGAACAATAATCGGAACAGATATTTTTCAACAGTTTTCACCACCGAAAATTTAAACATGATACCCGGGGCACCGACTATATACAAATATAGTGAAATTATAGATTGAGCAAGATAGTAGTGACTAGTAACGATGTTAGTAAGTGAGTGGCTACCAAACAGGGAGATACTGCCGTCTGGGAAGATATTGGAAGCATATTGTAGTGTCTAATGGTAGATCCTGCTGCCATATGGCATCACGAGAATTGTGACCAAGTCCCAGGCTGCTGATCTGACTTTTTGCCTCATTTACACACAATTGCAGGGTCTCAATTGTTTCTCGAATTTTGACAACACACCATACATATATAGTTTCTTACTCTTGATTTTTTTTCATTTTTGTATTTCTTTGGTTCTTTTTTATTATTATTATTATTATTATTATTATTATTATTATTATTATTATTATTATTATTATTATTATTATTATTATTATTATTATTATTATTATTATTATTATTATTATTATTATTATTATCGCTCATAGGAGCGATTTTGGTTTTGCAGGACAATAAGATCATTGGCGTTGACGCGATGAGTATAATTCGGTCAAAACCTGTTGAATTCTATCCCCGCATCCCCTGAGCAACGCTCTTGTGCATTATGCAGAAGACCCGACAGCAGCACCCTTATTCACTACCTCCTAAGATGTCCCCACACACAACGCTTCCGTGACGCCTGCTGGACCACCACTCCACGACCCCCTGACGGAGACACGATGATTCTCCCCATACTGGCCAGATATTTTGTAAATAATATTGATTATGTGTTGAAGGAATATCCTTCCTTCCTTAGGCTTTTGTAAACCCCTTTATAATATTTATACTGTATAAACTTGTCACACTTGCCAGATGCTTCTGGTGTCATTGCACAGGGGTACCTAATGACAGCATTAGGATCCCGCTTCCTCTATCAAGGAATAAACAATTGAAATTAAAAAAATTGATTTGAATACAATTCACATATAACAACCGCTGGTACACCAGGACACAGTTTGAATAATACTTATTAAAGTTATTTTGAGGTCTCAGAGGATTCAACAGTTCACAATCACACTCACGTTTTGGGGTCTAGGGTTAGACCAACGAGAACAAATCTAATGTCCTGCTGGTGATATTGGCTGACGAGAATCCAGATGTTGCCTTTACAGTAGACTGTCCCTCAGAGAGTCACACAGCTGCTACCAGCTCCATCTCGCTTAGTAAGCTATTCTGAGTTGTAAACAGTTCTTCACTTATCATGTGGCCGGCGCGCACATTTAACACCTCAGCAAAGTTCGGTGTCAACACTCTGTCTCTTGCCTCTCTCCTTCTCTCTCTCTCTCTCTCTCTCTCTCTTTCTCTCCTTTCTCTAGATTATCTTACTGTAGCGGTAACACTCCCCCTGTCGGGTTTCGCACGAAATTACGGCCTACCATTAGATTCACTCTCCGATCCCTTCCAACAGGCAGAGTCTCGTCGCTGCGTGTATTAACACTGAGTCCTTTGTCTTCACTTTAACACTCGCACCAGGCCATCTGCGATCGGTAGTGCCTCCAGTACTCTCTCTAGCATCCACTGACTCCTGGGGAAGGGTTGTCCAGAGATGATCACGATATCCCCAGCGTGGAGATTACAGCGAGTTTTGAATAATCTTTGTCACTGACGTAGTGTCGGGAGATATTCCTTTACCCACCTCTTCCAAATTTGGTCCGCGATGAATTGGGCATGCTTCCATCTTCTGGCAGGTCGGCTTGGTGTTGGTGGGTAGGCCTCCAGTTGCTTCTCCGACAAGTCACACACGTCCGAATTGTGTGGTCGAATAATTTGCGGCACTTCGGCATCCAGTATGTCCCGTGTATTATGTCAAGAGTGTGTTGTCGTCCTGAGTGTCCAGCTCTAGTCAAGTGTACCTCTATCACAATGAGCCCCGTGATCCTGTTGTCCCTCGGCAACAGTATGGGATTCTTCTGGTCTGGGTGGAGAGCGGCATTTTTCAGTAGGCCTCCTACTCAGATCAAACCGTGCGTGTCTAGATGAGGTTCCAGTCGACTCACGTCACTACCTCTCACGGGTTGTCCCTGTTGTAACATTCCGAGTTCTCGAAGGAATCCTTTCCTTTACATAAATCTCATGACGACTAACTTCGCATCTTCCAATTCGCTGACCTTGAGTCGATGTTTTCGGTGATGTTTGTTCTTTCGCTTTCCCAGCCGCCATTCTATAAACCTTCTAATCCACACTATGCTATTCAGAAGTCGATGCCACGAGGAGTACCTGGCCCATAGCTTATCGAGGATACCCTCCCCCTGGTCAGCGTTCGTCGTCAGCACCGTGGTTTCCTTCTTCACCTCTGGGTCTCCATCTGTGAGGTCTGGAATCCTCATTGGACTCTTTGGCCAACTGTCTTCTTCCAACAAGAGGAAAGCAGGTCTCTGAATCCACCTGCCCTCCTCGTTGAGCTCTGTTCCATGTAGTCCACGACTAGCGTCATCTGCTGTGTTCAGTGCCGACTTCACGTGGCGCCATTGTTCTGCATTGGAGTCCTCGTGTATCGTTGCCACTCGATTGGCCACGAAGGAATGGAAGCGTCTTTCGGTGTTTCGTATGTACTGAAGGACTGCCGTACTGTCTGTCCAGAACACTGACCTGTCTACTTGTAATTCAAGTTCTCGTCGTAGTTGTTTGTGTGCCTTGGCAGCCAGTACTGCCGCGCAGAGCTCGAGTCGAGGTATGGTCTGCTGTTTCAGAGGGGCTTGCTTGGCCTTGCCACACAAGAAGGAGATATGGTGGGTTCCATCTTCACACTTGGTCATAAGATACGATACAGCTCCATATGCTTGTTGGGAGGCATCGTATAAGTGGTGTAGTTGTACGGCAGCCACTGGATTTGCATTCTGGGGTGGGTAGCACCGTGGAACGTGTACTTGTGATAGGTGAGGAAGTTCATCCAGCCATCTTCGCCAAGCCACCCTGTTCTGTTCAGCCATTCGTTCATCCCACCCAATACCTCGTCTACACTCATCTTGGAATATAATTTTGGCTCTTGTGACGCTCAGAGCGATGAGTCCCAGTGGGTCATGTATGGAGCTGACCATACTCAGAAGGCTTCGTTTCGTCTCCGGTTTCTTAGGGATGTGGACCCGGACCGCTAGTTCGTCCTTTTCCAGGTCCCCCAAGATTCCTAGCGCTTGTTCAGTGGGGAGCCTGTCGTCTTTCAAAATGACTTCCTTTACTCCCACGGCTTTCTCTGTCTGTGAAATTGCCTTGAGGACTTCCTTCTGATTACAGACCCACTTCGTAAGTCTAAATCCGCCCTTCCTCCTCAGCTGTCTCAGTCAATGGGTAATTATCGTTGCCTTCCCCGGCGAATCTCCTAAGAGAAACAGATCGTCAACGTAGAAGTTACGATTCGCTTTCTTGATGTCATGGAGACTTCTCTGTAATCTTGGAATGCTAGTTGTAGCGCATATCCGGCACATGAAGGGCTACACATACCTCCAAAGAGATGTACTGGCATTCGGAAAGTGGTGGGGCCCCTGGCAGCTGGTCGTCCGTCCACCATAAGAATCGTAAGGCGTCTCGATGTTCGGGTACTACTCGCACTTCGTGGAACATTGCCTCGATATCAGCCATGAGTGCCACCTTTCCTTGTCTGAATCTGATGAGGACTCCCATCAAATTGTTGCTTAGGCCTGGCCTTTGCATCACCTAGCTGTTCAATGACATCGACTCATATTTGGCCGCACAATCAAAAAACTATTCTCACCTTTTCTGGCTTGTTGGGATTCAACACGGGGTGGTGTGGGAGATACCAGGTCTACCCGGGTGCAACACTGAGTTCTTGACGTGGGACTCGCTCAGAATGCCCTTCGTCGACTTGAAGTCTCATCTCTTCTTGATACCTCTGAGAGAGCCCTGGGTTCTTTAGGAGGCATTTTCTCAGTCCCGCCAATTGCTGTTCGGCAAGCTTCTTATTATCTGGGAGTTCCGGTTCTTCCTGGTGAAACGGGATGGGAAGTTTGTAGTGTCCGTCCACTTGAGTAATTGACGTTGACCACTGCATCAGGACTCTCTTGTCTTCGACAGGATCATCGTTACTGTAGGCGGAGTCGCATTCCCAGAAGTTCCTGACTTGTTTTTCCAGATTTGTCTCCGAATTTAATGTTGCCTTTCTGACAAAGTGGTTACTCACGGCATAATCACGGCTCACCACTCCAAGCGGTCCATTTATAGTCCAGCCCAAAAGGGTGAGTTTTGCAAACGGTTCTCCGTCTTTCCCGGTCCTTACTTCTAACGGCACTAATACTTGTGGTACATCCAGACCTATCAGGAGATCCACTCTTTTCGGTGCTTGGCGTAGTGCAGTACTTCGGAGGTGTTCCCACATGGTGACGTCTTGGGTGTTTTCGACCGAAAACTCTCAGAGAAGATTGTAGATTCTCAACATCAGTGACCTTGGGGATAGTGATGGATCGGCTCTTTCTTTCTCCTACGCTAACTACCTTTACACTGATCTCTTCGGTGTTTACACTACTTCTTTCTTTCATGATCGTGCCAATGGAGAGGGAAAAAACTGGCCTTCCCTCCGCCTGCAGCCGGTTAACTAGACTGACCTAACCAAGAGAGCTCCGGTAACCACTGCTCCTTCTCCTCTTGGTTCTTCTCCTCCATTCTGAATTTCACTATTGGAAGGATAAAAACAACGTGGCCCTGGAGGATGACAGACAAACAGGGTTATATTACAGTAGCAGTCCATGGCGGAATAATGCCAGTTCAAGAGGTAGACTTAGTTCTCGGAAATGATGTTGCTTGTTCATTAGTGATTCCCAAAACTAAGATTTTTAAAACACCTGAAGATAATTCCACAGTAGTAGACGAGAAGCATTTGTTATCGTCTACTTGTGCTGCAACCAAGCCCCAAAATGCTGAACTTAATTCACATGACTGAATAAATCCTTCCTCTATAGAGTCCTATCATGATTGTCAAAGTGAACCTTCTTTTAGAGAGGGTTCTTCCTTATCTTTATCTAAAAGATATTATAACTAGTTGACACATGTACTAGGACTATTTTTCAAAATTTGTGCACTTATGCCTGGAGTGTGTATCCTGATGATGTATGGAGTACTCGTGAGCACTACTCGGACGAGACACACCTGTAGCCCAAACACAAGGTGGACCTTGTGACTGTAACGATGTTGAATTGATTTTATGTACATTTACACCAAAAATTTAATTTCTACTGTTCTAAAATATACTATTACTATGGGACGTAAATGAGTATAGTAGAAATAATTTAGTTATCCTTCTGGAAGGATAGAGCTGGTAACCAATGTTTAGATAAATACTTAAATAGTAAAGTTATCTTTGATTATTAACTATTTAAACTTTTGTCTGAAAAAGTTTGATGATTACAGAATACCTGTATTTGGAAAAAAGTAGAGAGCCCTTTAATGTTGTACTCCATTTAAATTTATTAAAATTAGTTTGTATCTTGTTAAAACTTTGTATGTTATGGCAATACATTGTAATTTTCTCAGTAAATATGTAACATTACTCTTTTTTAATGTTTCTTACAAGATAACTTAGTGGTTAAAGATTATTTTGATATAACTGACGACCCATAAATAATTCAGACTACTATATAAATTGTGAATTACTGAGGGAAAATTTGGTGGAAATTTCAGGAGTGTTATAGGGAACTGGGCAATTGCAGTAAGATCCCGCCTTGTTTGCTTAAGATGTCTGGATATGTGAGTCATTATAATTTCAACATATCTAAGGGAAGTTTATTGAGAGTTAGAAACATTTAAATCAGTTTGAGAAAATTATAATGTGAAGGATTGTAATAAAATATTTATCATAAATAAACTAGAGATGTGTAAATTATAATTATTGGTGAGCTGGAATTGCTAACAGGAAGTGTGAGAACAGCCATTATTATTTCAGATCTTGGAGAGGAAACACGTTATAGATTTCCCTCTCTTATTTTTTGTAAATAGCGTTAAAAAGCCCCAAGAGATGATAAGATAACTGTTATTTTCGTAGTATTGATCAGAGATAATTGTAACATAAATAATATTTAAGACAAGTGAATTATTAAATGATATAGTGAAATTATTATGATGATCAGTTGGTAAGCAAACACATTCTTGCAGCCATGTTAAGATGTTATTGTATGATGATTGATTTAAAGGTAATAATGATTTAATAAGGTAAGTAATTAGTCATGGAAAATTTAACAGTCAATATTTGAAAGATATTAAAGTTTTCCATATTTCAAATGAACTGCAAAAATAAACAAAGTATTACTTTATTATTCAATATACTGTATATTATTTTAAGTGTTATTTCTGTGATTTCATTAGCTACTTAAATAATTATGTGTACGTAATTTTCAGTGATTTAAAGTGAATTATTATCTAGAATAGGAACTGAAAATAATCATTATTTCCAGGGGTTCATGTGTGTAGAAGGATTCTGTGTACAACAGTTTAAGTGCAAATCAGATATATGTGTTCAGGATTACATATGTGTGTGAAGCAGCTATAATTTTGCTGACAAGTACCGGGCACGCACTGGCTCCTGAATATATCTGAATCTGCTCCAGTGTTGGTCAAGTCTGGTCTTGAAGGAGCTCACTCTCGGTCCCGTCACAATACTCACAAACAGGTTGTTCCAAGAGTTCACAACTCTCACTCAGAGAAAAAGTTTGACCTCACAGTTTTTTGGACTTGCGGCTTCTTCAGCCTTGAGCTGTGACCCCATGTTTATACACCTCAATTCGGCCACCCCTTGCCCGTCTGTAGTATAAGCTAGGCAGTTGCAGGCGCTCTAATCTCTCTGGAAAACTGAGGTGTCGAAGTGCAGACACCAGTCTGGTGGCCCTCTTTTGGACATTTTCAATCAACTCACAGTCCCTAGCATATCTCCGGGACCAGGCGGGATGACTGTACTCCAGGCGGGGAAGCAACTCACTCTTGAAGAGCGTTACGAGGGACGGACTGTCTAGATATCTGACGGAATTTCTTATAAGACCTAATAATTTAATTGCGTGATTCACCTTCTTCTCACAATGGCCCGATAGCTTCAGTTAATTGTCAACATACACACCCAAGTCCTTTTCGCATTCGGTCTCTATTATTGCAGCTTCTTCGTCCAGTTGGGCCATAACATACGCCTCCTTACCGTTGGTACGACCCAGGTGCCGCCTCTTAAGCTTCGTGATATTGAATCTTAACAGTCATTTCTTCAACATTCTTGAAGCTCACAGAGATCTTTCTGCAGCCCTTCGCAGTCTGTTTGGTTCTTAATTACCTTAAATAACTTGGCATCGTCCTCATAATGATTGAGGCTAAACCTTGAAGTATTTAACATGGAGGGAGTGTCAAGGAACATATGAACATAAGAATGGAGAAAACTGCAGCGGGCCTATTGGCCCATACTGGGCAGTCCCATTTACACCCAACCCTCATCGCTCATATATCCACTCAAACTATGTTTGAAGCTACCCAGCGTATTCGAGTGAATGATGATATTTGGTAACTTGTTCCACTCATCCACTACTCTATTTCCAAACCAATGTTTACCTATTTCGAGCCTAAATCTAAATTTGTCAAATTTAAAACCTTTCTTATGAGTTCGCCTCTGGTTGAACAGATTGAGTACCTTTGTTATATCACCTTTATTTACCCGACATCCATTTATACACCTCGATCATATCGCCCCTCACTCTACGTCTCTCGACGGAGTGCAGATTAAGATGCTTTAACCTGTTTCTGTACTCAAGGTTTCTAATGCCCGGGATTAGTCTCGTCATTCTCCTCTGAATTCTTTCCAGGGATTCTATATCCATTCTGTAGTGCGGTGACCAGAACCGAACTACGTAATCTAAGTGAGGTCTGACAAGCGCAAGATATAGTTTTAGGAGGACTTCGCTAGTCTTGTAACTAACACTCCTTTGTATGAACCCAAGTACTTTGTTAGCCTTGTTTAGAGCAAATACACATTGTTTACTAGGTTTAAGATCCCTACTTATCAATACTCTTAAATCTTTCTCACAGTCGAATTTCTCTGTAACATCGTTGTTCATCTGATATCTGGTTTCGCTGTTTTCATCTCCTATACTGAGTACTTTATATTTCTCCACATTAAATTTCATCCGTAATTTTTCAGACCACTCGAAATTTTTTTTTAGATCTTCCTGTAGTTTTATGGAGTCCACGTCAGATTTAATTATACGGCCTATTTTAGTGTCATCAGCAAATTTACTTATGTTACTGTCTACGCCTATATCTATGTCGTTTATGTATATAATAAATAATAATGGTTTAAGTATTGAGCCTTGGGGTACTCCACTAGTGACGTTACTCCAATCGGATTTAGTGCCGTTAATGATTACTCGATGTTTCCTGTCCTGTAACCACGCCCTAATCCATTTTAGAATATCTCCTCCAATGCCATGAGCCTCCGCTTTTCGTATTAGTCTTTCGTGGGGGACTCTGTCGAAGGCTTTGCTAAAGTCAAGATATACCACATCATAATCGTGCGTGTCGTCCACCGATTCGAAAACAGCTGAAAAGAATGTTAATAGATTAATTAGACATGAACGCCCGCTTGTGAAGCTAAGTTGGGAATCATTGATCAACTTGTGTTTCTCCAGGTAATTTTGAATAGAGTTTGAAATTATTGCTTCCAGTAATTTACCTACAATTGGTGTTAAAATGATGGGCCGGTAGTTAGAGGATAGTGATGTATCTCCCTTCTTGAAATCGGTATTATATTCGCTATCCTCCAGGATTCTGGTACTACACCCGTATTTAGTGACATGTTAAACAACTTTGCTAAGGGCATACTAAGCTCTTCCTTACATTACTTTAATACTCTGGCAACTGTCTCAACGGGACCTGGTGACTCTTTAGGCTTTAGCCTTTGTTTTGCTTACTAACATCGTTACTAGTCACTACTATCTCGCTTAATCTATTTTTTTCACTATCTCTGTATATACAGGTAGTCGCTGCCTCGGGTATCACGTTTAAATTTTCTCCGTCGTTATCAGTTAGCTCGTCGGTATCTGACTGTATTGGTCCAATCTATTTCTCGTGTTTTAGTTATTTCACTTTAACTTTATTGTGTTACTATATTAACACGTACACTCACTCGTGCGCGGATGCACACACTCCATAACTATCATCATCATTATTATTATCATTACTATAATTATTATTATTATTACTAGTATCATTATTTTATCATTACTCTTGTTATCATTATTATTATTATTATTATTAATACTACTATTATCAGACTGCACGTAAGACAATATTACAATATATCTTCTTCACAATCTAAATACAAGAAACAATATTAGCGGCAACAATATCACTCGT